TATGGCCTCTATAACGGCCCATGAGCTTCTGGCTCACAAAAATTACTCATGTAATTAGCATCTCACTTTTCATCAATATAATTAGCAAGGCCTTGCGGAGATGCATCTAAATATCAAGACGGAAAATCATTGCCAGTTATCTTAATATATAAATAGATGATTTCAAAATCAATGTTATTATGACAACTGCAGGTGTCAAAACTCAATTGGTAATTGGCAATAATTTTGTACTCTGGAAATGTGTTTTCCTTGTGAACAGGATTCACAAGTGTACTCTTTGGAAAACAAGACTTATGTGTCTTTAAAAGGGTGTCTCCTTATATTCTTGATGATTCTTTGCATCATCATCTTGTCTTAATGACTAAGCAATCATACCAAAGTTTGAACACATCCGGGTTCAATATAATAGCAACTCTTTTGGGGAAAAACATTAAACCCAGTAATATAGGCTTCTAGTCTTTTATGGATGGTCTTCTGGCCCATCTTAAGGTGATACTTAGAAAATCTTTATTTATTTCAATTGTTGTTTCAAGATGGTACCCATTATGGTATACATCTTTATAGCTAAGTAAATGTCTTCTTAATCTACCACTTATCAATGCATCTTCAAGATGCAAAATAGTGCCATATGGCAAAACAATTGTGGCATTCCATAGCCATTTATACTATTAGCAGGACCAGATATGGTATTGACATTTGCCTTGCACAATGTCATACTTGAGAACAAGTCTTTGCTACATATAATTGTATATAGTACTATTAATTAAACATGCATTTTCCTTTTTCTCAATATTTCCCATTTGCACTTATGTTGACAACTTCGGGTATCAAATGGCTCAAGTTTATCAATTTAACAATATTTCACCCAAAGGCAATATATGCCAGTATAAAAAGAAAATATGGAGTCTCTCTAAGTTTTTGGGCTATCATCCACCAATTTTGGTAACTTGTCATTCCCATCATGATTTTCAAAAAATTAGAGATTTAGCGTTGAGAACTCCAGGTGTCAAAATATTATAAAACCCATATGACAACTTCTGGTGTCAAATACTATAAATTATTTGCAACAGATTTTATATAGGGAATGATCAATATGACAACTTCAGATGTTACTTGTAGTTTCAATATCATCGAATTAAAATTTAATATAAGGGGGATAACCTCAAAATTAATATGACAACTTCTGGTGTCAAAAGTATTAGCAAAATAATCGCAACCTCAACGTGACAACTTTCGGTGTCAAGTATTATTTAAATTAATTATTTATTATGATAACTTCTGGTATCCAAAAATAATTTCATTTAGTAATTCAATGTGACAACTTCTGATGTCAATTAAGTTTATCAAAAGAAAAGAATGAAGTAGAAGTAGAAGAACAATTTAAACATGTATATAAATTGAACTTTCAAAAATAAGAGATCAAACCTTTAAACGGAAGATCAAACTTCAAACCTTGCTTTGTAGAGCCTTCGTGCTAATAATATGTTGTGAAATGGAGTCTAGATTGTCTCCGCCAAAATAATAAGAACCAAAGAGAAGAAAGAACACCGAATTTAACGAGGTTCGGCCAATAATGTGCCTACGTCCTTGGATAGTACTACTAGATAATATTTCACTATTTGAGACAAATATTACAAGAGTAATAAGCTAGCATTAAGCTTATAAGCATAAGCTTTTGGAAATGATTTTTCGACTCCAGGATTGATCTTAGGATTGGGATTGTGAATTTCGGATATGGGGTAGCATTGCAATGCCATAACAATCCTATTTATAGGAAATTGATGCGCGTTGCAACACACCAAATAATAATCGCAAATTCACTAACTTATAGCTAAGGTAAATACGAGTCGAGTCCCAAGGGAATTAAAGTTATTAACTACTTAACCAAACAAATTTAAAATAAAAATGGGGGGGGGGGGTTTGATTTGACTATGAACTAAATTGCAATGGGAAATAACTTGCAAATAAGTAAAAATTCAAGAAAATATAAATCAAGTAAAATAGATATCAAGTGATGGAAATCCCAACTCTAAAGCATTGATTCATAAGTATTTAATTTAATCATAGGCACAAAGTATAAATTATCCTAATTAAATAGGTAGCGTAGACTAAATGCTAAAAGCCAATTAATCTCTATTTTTCCTTATTTATCATTAGCCACGACGCAAGTCCTAGACTAAATCCTAATAAATATACTAATCTAGTTTCAATCGCCTACTAGGTTCAAGTAATTTATCGCATAACGAACTAGAAAAATATTAGCTACCAGTAGATAATATTCACTAATATAGGCAATATTCAATCTATTCCTAATTTTCCCTTAGAGGGCTACTCTAAGTTGTCACTTGAGATATGAAAACCTACAATTGCATATAGGATTCAAGATCTAACTTTAGAAAACACATTAAAATTAACTAGGTGCACTTCTAATTAATTAAAACATGCATTTATTCCAATAATATAGAGAAAATTAGAATACACAATCAAAAGAATTGAATCAAAAACAAAACCTCATAAATTAAAAACCCTAGAATCAATTTGCTTTAGAGTTGGAAAGGGGAAATTCAGCTACTCATGCTTTGAGAAATAAAAACACAAGTATATTGATTAAACATAAAGAAGAAATTAAGTAGATGAAAAAAAAACCGAGAGAGAGAAAAATCGTTCTCTCTATTCCGCTCCCTTCAAAATCCACGATTCCCAGGCTAGCTAAAATGTTAAAATCCAAAATTGAATCTCCAATTCAAGACGTCTTCAGGCATGTGCTGCCTTAACAATTTATACCTAATAATTTTCCTTTAGGCAAATGACAATCGTGCCCATACAAATCTAACATAACTACTAAAGTAAATAGCATGAAAAATTAAGTTTTTCTCAAAGCCCAATTATTTTACATGTCCAGCTGGTGTTTGGTGTGATATGCGGCCCAAAAAGAGTTAAGCCCAAGATTGAATTCAAGCCTCAACTTTAAGTTCTTCAGCCCTGTTTCGATCCAGAGAAGGTCGAGTTTGACCCTAATGCAGGTCGAAACAGGGAAATTTCCATTTTGCTCTTGGTGAATTTCGCTCCTTTGCGAAGGTTGATTTCGACCCGTTCCTAGTTGATGTAGGACACCTACTTCTTTGCTCCATTATGCTTCTTTTGCTTCCAATTCCCCTTTAAAATACCTAAAACATATAAGTGAACAACTAAATAGTAAATCAACTCAAAAGGTCATAAAAATACCATTACAAGACATAAAAAAAATAGGAAATTATGCACCCAACAGAAATGTTGGTCTCATAACATGTACTTACTAAGGGCTAGTTGCCCTCATGTAAGTGGCTATATATATTAATTATTACTTAACTAAGGAAATGTCTTTACTTCATTATTTAATTGCTCATATATTTATTAAGCTTAATATGGACTTGTTGGCCCTTGTTAGCTAGGTCTTTTCATGATTTTGGTTGATCCATGTTAAGTGGCATTTACCAAAAGGCTAATTGCCCTTGTGTGAAGTCCATTCCATGATTTCCATAACACTTACATGATTTCCATAACACTTATGAATTTCTAGGTTAGAAATAGGACTAAGCTATATCATCGTAGATGTTGTTTGATTGATCCATGTACAAAACTTCAAACTTGGGTACAAGACAGAAAATGTTAGAACTTAGAGTGAGTTTATTTTACATTAATTTTGTAGATAATTCATGGAGATGTTGTTTATTAACTTAGAGTGAGTTTATTAATTTTGTTACATTAATAGGACTAAGCTATATCATCGTAGATGTTGTTTGATTGATCCATGTACAAAACTTCAAACTTGGGTACAAGACAGAAAATGTTAGAACTTAGAGTGAGTTTATTTTACATTAATTTTGTAGATAATTCATGGAGTTTAAGGAGTACTATTTTAAGTCATCGTTGTCACTTGTCAGGCTTTATTTAAGAGTTTGGCTTTTGCCTTTTGGGAATGTTTAGGAGCTCAACTCAAACATGGTTTCATATACTTGATCGGATAATAGAATGATAAATATTTTAATTTCAATTACTATTAAAATTCGATATTTAGCTAATTTTTCTATATCCAATCCGGTATCCAGGGTTTTGCCCTGACTAATCCAGATCCGATCCATATCGCACACCTGGTTATGGTGGATGAGTCTCCCAACAGGGGCAGCTGCGTACGCAAGGTCTCGAAAAATATTGAAAAAAAATACCGAAAAACCGAAAAATATTGTAAAAAAAATACCGAAAAATGTGCATATGTCTCAGCCCACTAATATTGAGTTTGGCCCATTAAAGTTTAAACAATCCATCCAGCCTGCCCATTATTAACGATTATTAAACATGTTGAACTCAAAAAAAATTTTATTTTTTTTTCCCCTTTTATACTACTACTAGTACTATATACATCTTCAGTTCCTAATTAAATGTCCATTCTTGGTCCACAAACATCAAATTTTGATTATTATTTATAAAAAAAAAATATAAAATTTAATTTTAAAAAAATATGTACTGAAAAGTTTATAATTCAAAATTTATAAAGTATTATTTTATAAATTTTTTTACTTTATATATTTTTTATAAATAATAATCAAAATTTAGTGTTTATTAAATGGACATCGGACGAGGGAGTACTACCTTGATTAACCCAACTACCAAAATATAATACTAGACAAGCTAGAAAATTTTCACCAAAAAAAGACAAGCTAGAAAATAATAAAGAAAAGAAATCAAAGTGCAATTTGTTCTCTCTTCGCTCTCTCTGAGAATTCTTAGGCAAAACATAAGTACCCTTTCGGAGATCTCAAGGGTCTTAACCCTCGATGTTTCCGAAGTTGCCTTAACCTCTCTGTTTCCCCTTTCAGACTCCCAACCCATCTCTCTTTTTCAGTCCTTTCTCCTTTCTTTTTGACATAAATTCTCTTTTTTCTTTTATTTCTTCATTCAACGAATTTGAACAAAACAGTCAGAGAGAGATAGCTCTTATACAGCAAAGAGTTTTATTAGAAATGGCTTCCTTTTCTTCAACGCATTGTCGTTCATATTCATATTCACATTCTTCATCCACAAATGGGGGGCAAAATCAACGTTTTGCTTTCTCTTCTTCATTTCCCAGATTGCCTGTTCCAGCTAAAGCTAAGGTCTTGCTTCAATCTCAAAGAAATTCCCATCAAAATGTTGTTCTCATGCAAGATGGTTGGTTTCCTTCTGTTCTTTTATTTTATTCATTTATTGGTTCTCCCTACATTTATTTTATTTTTTTATCTTATTTATGGGTTCTTCTTGCTTTGATATCTTGTTTGCTCTTCTTATTATGATTTGTTTTTGTTTCCTGATACAAGGAATTGTATGCAGATTTATGTTGGTCAAGTTTTCAATTATGAGAATTTCTATATTATGTTTGGGGGATCGAGAAAAGCCTTAACTTGAACAAGCAATTAGCTTAATTTTAATGGTAATATGTCTGATTTATTCTGTGATTCAATGTTATACTTATAAATGGTTTTGATGCATAGGTGCGGTAGCCACAAAAGCAAATGCTGTGGAAAAAGAAACGCCTCTGAAAAAATTGAAAGATGAATTGTTGTCAGCCACATCTTCAGATGAATGGGATGAGAAAGCAGGTTTTGATATCAATGAAAATGAGTCAACTGTCAGTATCACAGTGGTTGGAGCTTCTGGGGACCTTGCAAAAAAGAAGATATTTCCTGCACTTTTTGCACTTTATTATGAAGATTGTCTTCCTAAGGTTCAGATATTTTTTTCCTTTTGCTAACTTTTTTTTTTTTTTCACTTTACGATTGTCTTGTAAACTGCTTCAGTGCCTAATATTGTAATTTAATTAGGTGTAAATGTGGGTTTATTTTGTTGCAGCACTTCACCATCTATGGTTATGCAAGGAGTAAGATGACTGATGCAGAACTTCGAAATATGGTGAGCAAGACCCTTACATGCAGAATTGATAAAAGGTGAATTGTTTTCTACATTTTGCTTGTTACATGAAAAGCTTGCAGACTGCTAAAGTGGATCTGATTGTAGCTTTTAATTTTGAATATATAACTTTAATTGGATGTCATATGTTAATCCAGGGAGAACTGTGGTGAAAAGATGGACCAATTTCTTAAAAGATGTTTCTACCACTCCGGTCAGTATGATTCTGAGGAAAATTTTTCACAGCTGGACAAGAAGCTCATGGAGCATGAGGTAATGAGTTTATGGTCCATTTAACTGGAACTTCATATCATTGTCGGGGCAGGCAGGGGTTGGGGCAATGTTGAAGTGAATTCTGGCTTGCTGCTTGTAATCTTTATTCAATTGAATGTTGTCAGGATGCAAAGAGCTTGGACCAAACTTTATAAATGATTTATTGGGCACCATTCTCCATTCTGCATTCTTAAAGATGAGTCCAGTTGGTGCTAAAGCAGCTGAAAACTTTCTTGAGTGTATTTTTATTTTGTTGATTGCTTAGTTTCTAGTATTTTTGGTCTGATTCTAGTAGATAACTATGATACTTGTAGATAAGTCAGCATCCATATATTTTGTTGACTATTAATTGTTCGTGATCCACGACCAATCTTATGTCGTATACCAATGACTGGAGAATTGTTGCAAACTAGCTTATGAGATAGTGCCATTATGTGATTCCTACAATACCAGCCTGTGTGTAGCTAATGCACTCTGACTCTGGAGTTGTAATAAGTACTTCACATGTTCATTTAAATGTTATATTTTCTTTTGAAAGATCAGTGTTGAGGATGTTCTGCTTGTGCCCTACCATTGAATAGAATTAGTTTAACTGTTAGTTTCCATTTATGGGCATTCAATTCTGTTTGACTTTGATGATGTGAAACTGGTTCTGCAGGATGGGAGAGTTTCTAATCGCCTCTTTTATTTATCTATCCCTCCCAATATCTTTATCGATGCTGTAAAATGTGCAAGCTTGTCAGCTTCATCTGGTAATGGTTGGACCAGGGTCATTGTTGAGAAACCTTTTGGTCGAGATTCAGAATCTTCTGCTGCACTAACAAAAGCCCTGAAGCACTACCTAGATGAAGATCAAATATTCAGGTGAACCTTTTTGTTTAATGATTGGTGCTTTTTATGCAAAAGAATGGGAACTTTAATCTGACCAGATTGAAATTCTTTCTAACAGGATAGACCACTATCTAGGAAAGGAACTTGTGGAAAATCTATCGGTTCTGCGTTTCTCCAATCTTATTTTTGAGCCCTTGTGGTCGAGGCAGTATATTAGAAATGTACAGTTGATATTCTCTGAAGATTTTGGAACTGAAGGACGTGGAGGGTAATTTTCCTTTTGTTTATGATACTTACCATTTAGCTTGTTTAAGATTATGACTCATTTGCTTCTATGTTGTTATCTAGGTATTTTGACCATTATGGAATAATTAGAGATATAATGCAGAATCATCTGCTTCAAATACTTGCTCTCTTTGCTATGGAAACCCCTGTAAGTTTGGATGCTGAGGATATAAGAAATGAAAAGGTAACCTGATGTGTGCTAATTGAAGATGTGATAGCAAGGTCTTATCTCTATTGTATGTATTTATTCATAAACTTCTTGATGGGTGCCAGGTCAAGGTACTACGCTCGATGAGGCCTTTGCAACTTGAAGACGTAGTTATTGGACAGTACAAGAGCCACACTAAAGGAGGTGTTACCTACCCCGCCTACACTGATGACAAGACTGTGCCAAAAGATAGCTTGACCCCAACTTTTGCAGCAGCTGCTCTGTTCATCGACAATGCAAGATGGGATGGAGTGCCTTTTCTAATGAAAGCAGGGAAAGCATTACACAATAAGAGGTAAATGGAATGGCACAGTAATTTGAATTAGTTTGTAATCTAGGGTTTGATTAGTAATACATGCATGGCACTAAGATTTTTTTCTCCATCAGGGCAGAGATAAGGGTACAGTTCAGGCATGTGCCTGGCCACTTGTATAACCGAAACTTTGGAACTGATATTGATCGAGCTACAAATGAGCTTGTCATTAGAGTGCAGCCAGATGAAGCTATTTATTTGAAGATCAATAACAAGGTCCCTGGATTGGGGATGAGATTGGACCGCAGTAACCTGAACCTCCATTATGCGGCAAGGTAAACCTTGATTGCCTTTATTAACATGAAGAAATTTAACATATTGCTGGTTTCAGCTATATGGTATCTGTACGATTAGTTACACAGGCGGATTGCTTGTCTAATTGTATTATACAGTTTTAAGTTGTTGATGCAGAAGTTCATAATATAAGCTTCTTGTTATATTCATTAGATAACACATGATCATTTTAGCAAAAGAAAGACAGATTGTTCTGTTCCTACATCACCTAATTTAGTGCTTATTTTGGTGTCCTACTGCTGGTTCTAGATATTCAAAAGAGATACCAGACGCGTATGAGAGGCTTCTGCTGGACGCTATCGAAGGCGAAAGGAGGCTGTTTATCCGAAGTGATGAGTTGGATGCTGCCTGGTCACTCTTTACTCCTGTTTTGAAGGAGCTGGAAGAGAAGAAAATTATACCTGAATACTATCCTTATGGCAGCCGTGGCCCTGTTGGTGCTCATTATCTTGCAGCTAAATACAATGTCCGGTGGGGTGATCTTGGCGTCGACCAGTAACGGTGAATTTCAACTTCGCTGTTAAAATGGGATTACTAATTAGTAAAACAGAAAGCTTTCTTAGTCAATATATTAGGTGTGCCAAAATTTTTAATCCAAAATTTATTTATCTACACGATGGCCTGGTTCCTAGGAGCATAGTGTGCAAGCCTAATGTAATCAACAAGGGAACGTTTGTTTCATTGCAAATGTGATTTGGCATTTGATATTTTTACAGAGGAAATAAATAGCATGGGCAGAAGAAGACGCCAACTTCCTTTTTACTTTTTGGATTGGTAGAAACACCAACTTCCCTATGTGCCTTTACTATATTTTATTGGATTTAGCTAACGGGTGCAGTGCACCCGTTAAGCTACAATAAATGGAGGTAATGAGGGTTTATTATGGATACTAGTGTTTGCCCTGTGCTTCGCCGCGGGCGTGTATATAGAGTCAGGTTTTGGAGAAGGGGTCTAAAAGATATCTATCAACTGATCGGCAGGAGAGCATAACTTGTTTAGAATCATTGCTATTGGGCGGTGAAATGAGCATGAGATGGAGTTTTAACCAAAATATCGGAAGCACTTGAATATTAGTGGATAATAAATAACAATAAAAGTATGGAGAGTTAGAAATAACTCTATAATTCATATAGAGGAAAATATGGGTTTGAATATTAGCACTTGAACATTTGGCTCCACTCTATAAACCCGAGGAAAATATGGGTTTTGAACTACATGCTATTTTAATATTTTTATTTTTATACTGAATAATTAAACTTAGTGACCTTGAATGATTTGCAATTGATGACCTAATGAAAAAGAGTCCTTAGGTGTGCAGTCAGAGTTCTTAGATAATTTTATAATGTGCTCAGGTAATAATGAATACAAGCCAAGATCTTGTGAGATGCTAAGAACATTAGTGTTGATGATAAAAGTATATCGAGGAAGAACAGATAATCCCTTGCTTTCACCGCGAGTTGAGGAGTTTGTAAATATGGTGTTGGAGAAATGCTGCTCAATCATTGAATCATAGGTCATTTTCATTATTAGTGTATGTTTTTTATTTATTTTTTTGTAATAAACTGCTCTCTATGATTATGGTTTGCACTCAATAGAGTGCATGCTGAATTGTTTTCTAGAGGAGGCATTAATCATAATGATCGATATTATTGTGTCAAACCAAAAGCATATTCAGTTATACATAACAATCCATGGCAGAAGCTTAAGAGCTACTCTGATCCATAATGGCCCACAATACCTATTGACCCTCAAATATCCAAGCAATGAGTGGTATTCCACCGGCTGCTATTTCACCTTTTTCCACAATCTCTAACCTTTCCCGTCCTTTGAACTGCTCACTTTACACTTCTCTATTGTTTCAGAAGTCATATTTATGTCTTTACAAACTTGATCCACCGCGCATTTTTCTGCTGTCAACAAAAAATCATACCCTATCAACTAAAAAAAACCGTAAAAGTACACAATTGGTCCCTAAAGTGGAGCCAAATGTTCATTTTGGTCCCTGAAGTGAAACTTTGTCCAATTGAGTCCCTAAAGTGAATGGGATGAGCTAAATAGGTCCTTCCGTCACAAGTCCGTTTGAGGATCCGTCAATTGCGCTGATGTGGCGTTGATGACGTCAATTGCGCTGACGTGGCGTCATCCACGTCAGATTATCAGAATAAAAAATTATTTTTTTAAATAAAAAATAAATAAATATTTCTTTAAAAATAATTAATTTTTTATTGAGAAAAAGAAAGCGGGCCCACCACGTTTTAAATTGGTAAGCTCGCCTCACCAATGAATTAGCAAATTTATGTACATGTATCCTGTTCAATTCAATAAATAATGGAAATTGACTTCATTATGTCTAGATTGATAAAAGATTGATAATATTGTCAATATAACCACAAATGAAATCCTAAATTGATTAAAAGAGTACAAAATGCAGTGAACCCAATTGTCTTAGTTTGTAAAGTACCATATTGGTACCCATCAATCGGATTTTCCCAATTGTACAAAAATATACAAAATATCGCATTGTTTTGGTTACATTCAACCAATAATAAACACCCTAAATCCATCCTATTGGACTTAAACCAGTATGACAAAATGAATTCTTCTTTTCAGCTGCATCAACATGTTTTTTTACTCTGTTGTAGGTGTCTCATTTGTAGCAGCTTCCCTTGCATGCATTGTTTTCCTTCTTGCTGCCTCCTAGTAGAAATAAAATAAAAAGTGGCTTAACTAAACTAGAAAAAAATCAGGGAAACAAAATGGTTTAAGGATTAGGTTCTCACTTTAAGTTCCTTGACAGAGGTCATGTTTTGTGGTGGCCCATCAACAGGTATTCCAATTGTTACTTGAGTTTCTTTTCCAGGCTGATATATCAAGAAAATGTATAAATATAAAGCTTACATTTACAATTGTATACAAGTTAACATAATTTTTTAAAAAACTTACATTTATAACTGTATAATGCCTTTGAACACCATGTTGCATAGCTTTTTTCCCTTTCTTCTTAACAGTTGATGAGTTAGGTTGACTTGAACTTGGCTGCTTGGGGTTAGGCTTGGAAGAAGCTCCCATCTACAATTAAAAATCTATTAGAAATCCAACCAATAATTGCTATCTGGTGGTGCAATTTACAAATTCATTGAGCACTTACATTCAAATGGTTTGCTGGACATTTGGATCTGTTGTGCCCAGGTTTTCTGCAAATTCTACATTTCATTTTCCTCCCAATCCTAGGCTTTTTGTACCCCTTGCGACTTTCCAATTCCTCTCTTCTCCTTTGAGTTTGTCTCCTTCCTTTTTTCTTTGGCACTGACGGTGGCAGAACTTCTTCAGCATCTTGTTCGGGCCAAAATTTTAGCCCCTTAACAGGGGTTAACAACTTCTCATAGGCCTTCAAATAGACCTCTTTACTATAGCAAGGGTCAATATAGTCAAGAAGATCACTTCCATCATAAACTATGGCAGCTACAGCATGGTGACATGGTATGCCACTAACATTAAAACCCCTACAAGAACATGTTCTGTTCCTAAGGTTTACTGCATAAGCTTCCCTACTTCCCTGTTCTATATTAGTGTAGAAAACCTCATGCTCTTCACCTCCATTCCATTCTACTTCCCATTTTGCAGCTCTAGTCCTAATCTTCTCTAACTTTGCAATGATCCTAGGACCATAATTAGCTTTCCATTTTTCTGCAGCTTTTTTGTTTCTAACAATCCTCCTCATTACATAAACCCTTATATCTTCCAACATAGAAATGATAGGCTTATGTCTAGCTTCTAAAATTACCCCATTAAAGCACTCACACATGTTATTATCTATTACATCACACTTTGATATATCATATGCATATGCAAGGGACCAAAACTTTGGGTCCCAATTAATTACCAAATGTTCATGCGCATCAGAATCCATTTGTTTTCAACACTTCCATCTCCCTATTAAACTCAATTATGTTTGTAATTTTTGCACACTTCCAGAATTGCATCTTAAGTTCAACTTTATTATAAGTCTTACCAAATCTTGCATAAATATGTCGTGCACATCTTCTGCTTTCCACATATGGCATGTTCTCTAAGATAGCTTTCAACAAACCCTGCAAGACTCATAACTAAAAGCATTAATGAACTTATCAATATAATCTGAAAACTGAAAATGAAAATGTTTAGTAAGTTACCTTATCCATATCAGAAATGAAAGTCCACCCTAATCCATCCGCAATCTCCAAATCATCCATTAGCAAATTAACAAACCAGTTCCAATTATCCCCATTCTCCTTTCCAGTTATTACTGCCTAAGCAATGGAGAACATTTGATTGTTCCCATCTCTTCCAACAGCAACCAACAATTGACCACCCACTAAACCTTTAAGAAAACAACCATCTAAACCTATCATTGTCCTGCACCCTTGTCTGAAATTATCTTTCAGAGCACCAAAACACAGATACATTCTTTTGAATTTCGGTTTATCATTTTCAGACCTGTCAACCTCCAAATGAACTGTTGTCCCAGGATTTGTAGTAACCAACTCAGCTGCATATGATCTTAGCAGCTTGTATTCTGTCAAATATTGCATCTGCAACTTTTTCATAACCATCAGTTTGGCTCTTCTTGCTTTGGACATACCTATTGAGATGCCATATTTTTTCTTCACCATTACCCTAACTTGTGTTGCTCTCATATATGGCATCTGTGAAATCTCATCACCGAACTTCTGAGCCACAACCTTGGAAGTGAGCCTTTTATTCCTATGTGTCTCAAAGCAGGTATGATTATCAATATATGTCTTGACTGTGAAATTCCCATCACCACTTGTGTGATATGATGCAAATATCTCCCATTCACACCCATTAGCAGAACAATGAGCCCTCACTTTTTGCTTGTCATTTTT